CCCTCTATATCATCATGTAGACTGTAAGCAACATACCGTTCGATTTACCACTAAATTCATACGATTCGTTTTTTGACATTATATTGTACTGTTTACTGTAGTCTACAAACAGAAGTAACGAACAAGTACCGAAATTTATCACTAGATGGCGTTACCTGTCACCAATTGAAGTTTGTTCACAAAGTCATTAGTGGTTTGAACAAGTACGTGCGTGATCCGAATCGAAAAGTAATTAAAAATATTGTTTTCGTGTTTTGAGGCTTTATTTTCAATAACATGGACAGGTAAGTGTTCTAATATTTGATATTTGATGTTATCAATAACATTTATTTTCAATATTGTACTCTTTTTTGAAAATTTGTGTTTGTTGCCCGTAAGCTACATTGACGGATAGGTGTATTATTTTGTATTAGTTTTGGTGTGTATAGATTATTATTATGATGGCTCGATTTCATGTTCCAGGGCAGCTCGTAAGCGTCCTCTTCGAGTCCTTTTAGAGGAGGATATTGCCTCGGTGCTGCAGAATGGTGATGATAGTGAGGATGGTTTGGATTTTGATGATGACAGCCTCGAAGACCCAGATTTTTCACCTGAATTAGAAACTTTTGAAGACAATACTTCCACCTTAGATATCGACGTGGATTCTATTATAGAAACCTTAGAAAATAACCATGAAAGCTCAGTTCCATCACCTCCAAGCCTTGAAACTGCATCAAACGATTCTCAACCTTCATCAGCTCAAAGTAATCAATCAAAACGAACCACAACGAAACCTACCAAATTGAATTTACGCTGGAAGAAAAAGAGCCTACAGTTAAATACCGAGCAGCTTAGATTCAAGGGTAACAAGAACTTGGGAACTGAACTTCTAGAGCTAGAAACCCCTATCCAGTTTTTCTTTTACCTCTTTCCACAAGAACTTATCAAGATGATTTCAGAGGAGACCAATCTTTATCAAGTTCAGAATGATCCTAATAGCACTTTTCGTGTAACAGAAATGGATATCAGGCAATTTATGGGTATTGTATATCTAATGTCTCTTATTCGATTGCCCAGAGTTACGAACCACTGGACTCCGATACTTGGTACCCCAATAATACAGGATACTATGCCACTGAATAAATTTGAGAAAATACGCCAAACTTTACACTTCAATGACAATAGTAAAAATCTACCTATGAACGATCTTGGATATGATAGAATTTTCAAAATAAGACCAGTGATCAATTCTCTCAACGCAGCATACAAAAAGGTCCCTTTGGAAGAACACCTCTGTGTTGATGAGCAAATGTGTTCCACCAAAGCACGGAATGTGTTGAAGCGATATAACCCACAAAAGCCACATAAATGGGGTTATAAAATCTACGTGTTGAGTGGCGTTTCTGGTTACGCCTATAAAACAGAAATTGAAACTGGCAAGGAAAACGTTACGCTTCCAGAAGAGCCAGATTTGGGTGCAGCATCGAACGTCGTCATGAGGTTAGCACGTATGATACCAAAGCATCAAAATTACCAACTGTATTTTGACAATTATTTTACCTCTCTTCGTCTGTTGGAGTATTTGGCCAAAGAAGGCATTCACAGTCTTGGTACCATAAGAAGAAATAGAATCCCAGACTGTAAGTTGCTGCCAGAAAAGGTAATATTGAAAAAACCCAGAGGTTATTCAGAAGAATATGTAGCTGACCTCAACGGCACCGACATATCGAATGTGGCATGGAAAGATAACAAAATTGTCACTCTGGCTTCTACTTTTGCTGGAATACAGCCTGAAACTGATGTTCGTCGATGGGACAAACAGAACTCTAAGTACGTGAGTATAAAACGACCGAACGTTGTAGGAGAGTATAATCGCCACATGGGTGGTGTTGACCTGATTGACAGCATCATGGGGATATACAAGATACAATTGCGTAGCAAACGATGGCAAATACGTCTATTCTATCATTACTTGGATCTCACAATGGCAAACGCATGGCTGCTTTATAAAAGAGTCTGTAAAGACAAAGGCCAGTCATGTCGTTTATCTTCAGCAGATTTTCGACTAGATGTTGCAGTAACTCTTTGTAAATTGGGTGTAAAGCCTAGTATGTCTAGTCGTCGTTCGCTAGAGAACGAGATACAAGCAAAAAAACACAAAGGACCTGCACAGCATGCACCTCCTATGGCAGTACGGCAAGACCAGATTGGACACTGGCCTCAATGGTCTGACAAAAAAATCAGGTGCAAGTTCCCAAAGTGTACTGGATTTACTCACAATACATGCGAAAAATGCGGGGTTGCTCTATGCTATACCAAAACCAAGAATTGTTTCAGGAACTTCCACCTCTCATAACTTCCTCTTATATGCATAGTTTTTAAGCTTATAACCCAGTGTTGCTTCCAGGCAACACACCCTGTTTTTCTTTTTTCTTTGGAAAATAATTAAATATATGAAAAACTATAAAACACGTATATTTTTATTTTGCTTCAATTACCCGTAAACAACAAAAAATAAAATATCCATGTTCTTGAGTTATAGAGGGTTA